GCGCTATGAAGAAGGGACATTGCCCGAAACGTCTGTTATTTGTTGTTTAATGTCGTGGTGTTGTTGTTGTTGACACGGAGCGTGTTGAGTGTTGTTGTTGTGGGCTGTGTTTGTGCACCACGGCACAACGCAACAGCGGCAGAAGACAATGTGATTGCTTTGTTAACACATTTGCTGAGCAGACAGGTTCAAGTGCATGTAGTAGGTGTAGCCCTGTGAGCCATTCGGCTCTTGAATCGGGTGCAACCGCAACAAACAAAAAACAAAAACATGAACAAGAAAACATCTTAAAGTGACACATGCCCAAAGGGCCCAAAGGGCCGACACATATAGCGACCAGCAACAAGCGGCACCATTAACAGAGTTGTAACGGATAAGAGTTGTTGTTCTATGAGCTTGGTGGGGGGTGGGAGACGGTGGTGGTAGTGGGAGGAGGGAACTGCAGAGTGGAGCAGTGTGAGGGGAGACGCGAGGTGACCTGCAGTGTGGTGAGTGGATGGGTGGGTGACGTGGTGGGTGGGTAGATGAGTGGGTGAGCGACCGAGTGTGTGAAGGAGTGGATGGGTGAGTAGATGAGTGACTGAGTGAACTACTGAGCGTGTGATGGAGTCGGTGGGTGAGTAGATGAGTGACTGAGTGAACGACTGAGTGTGTGATGGAGTCGGTGGGTGGGTGAGTGACTGAGTGAGTGAACGACTGAGCGTGTGAAGGAGTGGGTGGGTGGGTGAGTAGATGAGTGACTGAGTGAACGACTGAGTGTGTGAACGAGTGGGTGGGTGAGTAGATGAGTGACTGAGTGAACGACTGAGTGTGTGAACGAGTGGGTGGGTGGGTGAGTAGATGAGTGACTGAGTGAACGACTGAGCGTGTGAAGGAGTCGGTGGGTTGGTGAGTAGATGAGTGACTGAGTGAACGACTGAGTGTGTGAACGAGTGGGTGGGTGAGTAGATGAGTGACTGAGTGAACTACTGAGCGTGTGATGGAGTCGGTGGGTGAGTAGATGAGTGACTGAGTGAACGACTGAGTGTGTGATGGAGTCGGTGGGTGGGTGAGTAGATGAGTGACTGAGTGAACGACTGAGTGTGTGAACGAGTGGGTGGGTGGGTGAGTAGATGAGTGACTGAGTGAACGACTGAGTGTGTGAACGAGTGGGTGGGTGGGTGAGTAGATGAGTGACTGAGTGAACTACTGAGCGTGTGATGGAGTCGGTGGGTGAGTAGATGAGTGACTGAGTGAACGACTGAGTGTGTGATGGAGTCGGTGGGTGGGTGAGTAGATGAGTGACTGAGTGAACGACTGAGTGTGTGAACGAGTGGGTGGGTGGGTGAGTAGATGAGTGACTGAGTGAACGACTGAGTGTGTGAACGAGTGGGTGGGTGGGTGAGTAGATGAGTGACTGAGTGAACGACTGAGTGTGTGAAGGAGTCGGTGGGTGGGTGAGTAGATGAGTGATTGAGTGAACGACTGAGTGTGTGAACGAGTGGGTGGGTGGGTGAGTAGATGAGTGAGTGAGTGAACTACTGAGTGTGTGAAGGAGTCGGTGGGTGGGTGAGTAGATGAGTGACTGAGTGAACGACTGAGTGTGTGATGGAGTCGGTGAGTGAGTGAGGAGATGAGTGATTGAGTGAACGACTGAGTGTGTGAACGATTGGGTGGGTGAGTGGGAGAGTGACTCGGTGAGTGGGTGATAGGGTGAGTGAGTGTGTGGATAAATGCGTAGGCCTCGGCAAGGTAAGGTAAAAGTTAAAAACGAGCCTACCTTTACCCTACCTTTTACCTTACCACAATACAATCACTCTACCCTACCTTTTACCCTACCTTTTAACCTTACCCCATACAAATTACCCGATTACAGGGTGTTTACTGGGGTACTACACATGAACAAGGTTTATGACGGTACATACTAGGTAGAGCGCTTTATTCACATAGAATACTCTCGATGATTCCAATTTCACACGCTTTCTTTGAACTCACTGTTGTCGTTATTGTTGTTGTTGTCGTTATTGTTGTTGTCGTTGTTGTCATTGTTGTCGTTGTTGTCGTCGCTGTCGTATCCTCAGATCTTGTAACTCAATTTTAACCCACTTCCTAATGTGATATCAACTGCAAACTTGGTATACGTATGTCATACGTTATATTTCGGCTTGGCTCTAATTGTCCACGCTCAACTCACGTTGGCTGTAATTGGCCACGGTCCCTTACGTTATGGCAAGCCTCGGGGCCACTTCCTGGAGTCGTGGAGTTCTGCCATTACGAGTACATTTAATAAAAGCGTGTTTTTAAAAAAAGTTGTTTTAATATTACTTATTAAATGTAGTCCACGGACTGCGCCACGGAGCTTCTAGCGGTAAACAAGGCACCGTATTTACGGGGTAATACTTTGCGCTATCTTTACCCTACCGGGTAATTCTTCCGAGTTACCTTTACCCTACCTTTTACCTTACCCCTTGGCATGTCGACACCTTTACCTTTACCCTTTTACCCGGTATAAAAGGGTAATTTACCTTACCTTGCCGAGGCCTATAAGTGCGTGAGTCAGTAAGTATGTGGAGCTGAGTGGACTTTCCTATGACCGGTACCAGCGGTGTCATGATCGGCCTCTATGGAGGAGGCTCGTGAAAAGGACGCTGCTGAGCGGTAGGAGGCAGTCGCCCTCCAGTCACAACTGAGGGCAGAGGAGTTACGTTCACAACAACGAGCGGTGCGCTGGGCGCATAAAATCGCAGCAAGTTGGCACAGGCAGCAAATCTACCCGTCACCTCAGTCAACCCATGGCACCTGGGTCTGTCCCCTGACCTCCTCCTGCTAGCAGTAAAGAGCCTACCACTCGTCACGTGACGGCCTCAAGGTGCACCTAGCCTGGTACAAGCGGCGCGGTGACGTCACCGCCACTACGGTCGGTTGTTGCTGAGTAGGTGAGGGACTGGGTGAGTGACTCCGTCCGCACGCACCCCAGACGCCGTCCCTGCACGTGGGAGCCGGGCAGCTTCTGTGCCACCGCTGGGTGAGGGCGGACCTGGCACCGTGGAGGGCACGGGCAGCTCTCGCGAGCATCCCCGTCCAGTGTGACAACGAGGCCCTTCGCCTCGAGGAGGACGGTGAAGATCCCGTGGCGTCATTCGCAAGGGTTAGGCCACTGTGTGCCAGCGTCTATGTCCAAGTGTTGCCACATTTAAATTAATTACTGTGTTTCCGCAAATTACTCGATTTGGATCACACACAGACAGAATTCAGTGGCAGGACCCTCCTTAAAGAGGGCCATGAGACTCAAACTTTCCTGGGTAAAAAGCTGAAATCAGCAGGCTTCGTGCTTGCACCAAAGCTGGTGAACTACCAAATGGTTTTGGGTGAGGGCTGATTTCAACATTCTGGTGAGCTGCCGGATGCGTATAAGCGACGATTGTCGTGTTATGAATTTGAAGTCTAAAATTAATTAATCTCGACAAGTTTAATCGTTTCATATCCATCCATACTTGGGAGGAGCGGTGGCGCACTGGTTAGCGCCACTGCACTATAAACTCAAGCTACACGGGTTTGATTCGCGGCTACCGTCAGTGGCGCGTCATATCTTATCCGGTGCCCCCTCCCATCCCTCCCGATCATCATCAACCCACATTGACCAGCGTGGTGAAGTATGGTCGACACTGGTGTGTGGAGGCCCTCATCCAGCAGTGGATTGACGTGGGACTGTGCACGGTGTCATCATTATTGTTGCTCTACGCGTGCACAGTCCAACGTCAGCCGTCGCCGCACGCAGACATCGTAAAGCCGTCACATCTCATGAAGCTCCGCAGGGGGTGAAGCCATGTGGGGGACGTTACCTGGTCATGATTATTCATGATGGGGGGGGGGTCCATGTGGGGGACGTTACCTGGTCATGATTATTCATGATGGGGGGGGTCCATGTGGGGGACGTTACCTGGTCATGATTATTCATGAGGGGGGGGGGTCCATGTGGGGGACGTTACCTGGTCATGATTATTCATGAGGGGGGGGGGGGTCCATGTGGGGGACGTTACCTGGTCATGATCATTCATGATGGGGTGGGTCCATGTGGGGGACGTTACCTGGTCATGATTATTCATGAGGAGGGGGGTCTCCATGCGGAGTGACGTCACCCACTCATGGTTATTAATGAGGGTGGCTGACGTCACTCCACATGGGGGGCTGAGGCGCCTCCTCCCCCCTCCTGGGTGACGTGGAGTGACGCGCGTGACACACGGACATTCCGGGCTCACGTTCGTGGTAAATGCTCCAGCCCCCCACGAGCTTCATCCGGCCCCGCTGCTGCTGCTGCCGCTGCCGCGTCAGAGCCGTGGTGACCCCCTCTGGGTGCAGAGAGGCACCCAGACCCGGGCGAGCTTTAGGATCGTGCGCCCCAGCATGTCGGCGGTGCTGTGATCAGTGTCCCTGACACGGCCACCGTGAATCAAACACGGCCCCGGTGTGAACCGCTGAATCGCCCGCAGTGTCTGACAGCGCCTCGTCCGCACGCACCACGGGGGGGGGGGCGGGGGGTGATTAATGAGCGGGGGGGGGGCTCAGCCGGGGTGGGTAGTGTAGTGGGGAGCGGTGGTGCCGTGGTTAGCGCACTGCGCTACGACCCCGGCCACCATCAATCACAGTGGCGGATTTATTTGAACCGGTCCTGGGCCTCCCCTAAGTCGACTCAGCCTTAAATGATTACACGTTGCGGTGTGTAACGCATCAGCACTGGGGAGACAAAGGCGGTCGGGCGTGATGTTGACCACCCGGCTCGCTAACGGCACTTGCCCCAACAGTCCGTCAAGGCTATACGGGGGATCTTTGTCTTGTAAGGGGTGTGGCTAGCGGGGCATGAAGGGCGGGGCTAAAGGGGGGGGTAGATGATGACGGGGGGGAGTGGGCGATGGGGGCGGGGCCATGGGGGTAGTGGGCGGTGGGGGCGGGGCTGTAGGGGGGGGTTAGTGGGGGGCGGGGCTGTGGAGGAAGCGCTGCATCCGGGTCCCGCGTGACGCGCGGCCCCGTTACATGTGGATCGGAGACGCCGCTGGCTGCGTGATGGGGGTGGTGATCACGATGGTGATGGTGGTGGTGACGGTGACGGTGGTGACATCGCTGTGAGAGTCACGGGGAAGCCGGGCCCGGACACCCTGCGTTGGATGCCGCCATCGCAGCCGCGCGTGTAGCTGATTGATGCTGATGGTGGTGGTGATGGTGGTGTGAGGATGGGGATCTGTCGCTGTCTCCTGCTGCTGCTGCTCCTCCTCCCGCTCGCGGCGGCGCTCGGAGCGGAGATCAGCGTGAGGCGAGAGGCGGCGCGGCCAGGTGAGGTGTGACACCCTCCACCCTCCACCCTGCACCCTCCACCCTGCACCCTCCACCCTGCACCTTCCACCCTGCACCCTCCACCTTGCACCCTGCACCACCCTACACCCTGCACCACCCTACACCCTGCACCACCCTGCACCCTCCACCCTGCACCCTCCACCCTGCACCTTCCACCCTGCACCCTCCACCCTGCACCTTCCACCCTGCACCCTCCACCCTGCACCCTCCACCCTGCACCCTCCACCCTGCACCCTCCACCCTGCACCACCCTGCACCCTCCACCCTCCACCCTGCACCCTCCACCCTGCACCCTCCACCCTGCACCCTCCACCCTGCACCCTCCACCCTGCACCCTCCACCCTGCACCCTCCACCCTGCACCTTCCACCCTGCACCCTCCACCTTGCACCCTGCACACTGCACCCTCCACCCTGCACCCTGCACCCTGCACACTCCACCCTGCATCACCCTACACCCTGCACCCTCCACCCTGCACCCTCCACCCTGCACCACCCTGCACCCTCCACCCTGCACCCTCCACCCTGCACCACCCTGCACCCTCCATCCTGCACCCTCCACCCTGCACCCTCCACCCTGCACCTTCCACCCTGCACACTGCACCATCCACCCTGCACCCTCCACCCTGCACCCTGCACCCTGCACACTGCACCATCCACCCTGCACCCTCCACCCTGCACCCTGCACCATCCACCCTGCACCCTCCACCCTGCACCCTCCACCCTGCACCACCCTGCACCCTCCACCCTGCACCCTCCACCCTGCACCCTCCACCCTGCACCCTCCACCCTCCACCCTGCACCATCCACCCTGCACCCTCCACCCTGCACCCTCCACCCTGCACCCTGCACCATCCACCCTGCACCCTCCACCCTGCACCCTGCACCATCCACCCTGCACCCTCCACCCTGCACCCTCCACCTTGCACCCTGCACCCTCCACCCTGCACACTGCACCCTGCACTCAGTGTTGGGTCATGTTTGGCGAGTCCGGTGAACCTAGCCTGGCACCATAACCTCGTTGCGTCAGTTGCCGTGATTGACAATTTCTGTACGTCTATTCACACCGTGAATGTCACATCCATCTCACTCACCTCCACACACTCTCCTACCTCTCCCCTCTCATCTCACACTACTCCCCTCCACGCACTCTCCTACCTCTCCCTCTCATCTCATTCTACTCCCCTCCACGCACTCTCCTGCCTCTCCCCTCTCATCTCACTCTACTCCCCTCCACGCACTCTCCCGCCTCTCCCCTCTCATCTCACTCTACTCCCCTCCATGCACTCTCCTGCCTCTCCCCTCTCATCTCACTCTACTCCCCTCCACGCACTCTCCCGCCTCTCCCCTCTCATCTCACTCTACTCCCCTCCACGCACTCTCCTGCCTCTCCCCTCTCATCTCACTCTACTCCCCTCCACGCACTCTCCCGCCTCTCCCCTCTCATCTCACTCTACTCCCCTCCACGCACTCTCCTGCCTCTCCCCTCTCATCTCACTCTACTCCCCTCCACGCACTCTCCTGCCTCTCCCCTCTCATCTCACTCTACTTTCCTCCACGCACTCTCCTACCTCTCCCCTCTCATCTCACTCTACTCCCCTCCACGCACTCTCCCGCCTCTCCCCTCTCATCTCACTCTACTCCCCTCCACGCACTCTCCTGCCTCTCCCCTCTCATCTCACTCTACTCCCCTCCACGCACTCTCCTACCTCTCCCCTCTCATCTCACTCTACTCCCCTCCACGCACTCTCCCGCCTCTCCCCTCTCATCTCACTCTACTCCCCTCCACGCACTCTCCCGCCTCTCCCCTCTCATCTCACTCTACTCCCCTCCACGCACTCTCCTGCCTCTCCCCTGTCATCTCACTCTACTCCCCTCCACGCACTCTCCTACCTCTCCCCTCTCATCTCACTCTACTCCCCTCCACGCACTCTCCCGCCTCTCCCCTCTCATCTCACTCTACTCCCCTCCACGCACTCTCCTGCCTCTCCCCTCTCATCTCACTCTACTCCCCTCCACGCACTCTCCCGCCTCTCCCCTCTCATCTCACTCTACTCCCCTCCACGCACCATCCTCTCCAGCGACTGACGGCTTCCCATGGAAGCCGTCAGTCGACCAGCACTCAGTGGGAGGTCGCTCATTCTCCTCTGCCGACCGCCACGGTCTGGAACTCCGTTCCCCCAGACGTCTGTGCCCCAATCTCTTCCAATCTCAAAACCCTCCACTTGCCCTCTGCCCGTGACTGTTCCGTGTGTACAAACACTAAAGCATATGTAGATGCCTCCTCCGTGTCCTGGTGTGTCACACCGTGTCAACCCGTACGGTTTAGCCGGGTTCTTGTACAAGTGAATTGAGTTTTCAGGTCCATACGGCGCTCAGCCGTTTCAACGCGGGCCAAAAAAAAATGTCAATTTGTTTGTGTTTCTCCCTTGTGATGGGGACTTTGTAGGATAGACGTTGGGATTTATAAGGGCACGGGGTGACCAATAAGGTCTGAATTGGTCTGTAATAAGGTAGAGCTCTGATTAGGGGTTGACAGGTATAACAGTGCGGAGTATACATTGTGTGGTGTGTGTGTTATGTGTTTGTGTGTAGTCAGCTGTGACATTGACGCGTTGTTCTTTGAGATAACCTCGGAGGATCTCACTGATGGGACTCTTGCGACCGCGTCCGGATCTCTCAACGTCCCGTGACCTGCCAACACTATAATCCGGCCTGGTTAAACCCAGGATGGATCGTGTGCAGGCCAGTCGCAATGTTCCCGAGCCGGCACAGCTGCTCCTTTGAAAGGGGTCCACGCTTCGCAAGCGCAGTACGTTTGGCTACGTACGGTGCAAAAGAAGTTCAATATACATACAACCGTAGCCGAGAAGGCCCGGAGCTTCGTGTGGAGCGGTAGGCCCAAGGCTAGCTTCCGCACAGCGTTTCACAACTGATGGAAAAATAATGTCGCTCGACTAATTCGGAGTGAGACCTCGGCTGCCAACCAGAGCTGGTGGTCAGCAACCGGAACGAGTGATGAGCACACTGGCCAGGCATGGGAACCCCTTCGCTCTCTCCACAACTGCTCCCGTTCCTCGTGGAAAGGCGACAGGGGGGTGGAGTGTTTATTTTGGTGGCGCCGATGGTGATGTCCCACCCCTGAGTTGCACGCTCTGGGTTCAGCAGAGGAGTCTCCAAACTCAGCAGCAGGTATGAGATAATTCGTGTTTGTGCCACGGTTTACCGGTAGACAAGCATCCTGGGCATCAACCATTGTCCCTCTGTATCGGCACCACATGGACATTCCACTCGTACAACCAATATAATGCTTTTATAATGGCATGGTAAAACTATGAATACAACGTTTAGAAGCCAGAGGACATTCCTATCGCACCGCAAGGTGAACAGAGAATGGCTGTGACTCCCAGCCACACAGCTTTATCCGGGTCTGCCCACCATCATGTTTATTGAATTTCTTTCGCACCGTACGTGGCCAACCGTGCTACTCAGAGATGTTGTATTCACGAAGGTTCTTAATGATTGTGAGCAGAGGGCCAGGAAACCCGCACGAACGTATAACAACCCAGAGCTCCGGCCTGTTGAAGGTATCATAGCCTTCGACCTCTGCAGTAGAAGACGGACAGAAAATTTTGGGGCTCCCTCCAAGAGCTTATCAGCATGTGTGGCATGGCATTGTTGAATAATCTCTGCCAGGGCATCTGAAAAGCCTGCTGGAAAAGGAAGATGCCTGCATAGCTGTTAAAGCAGTGCCATCCCCATCGTGAAGAGTGACCACCACGGCATCCGTCCGGTTCCGTGGAATCCCTGCCGCGGCTTAATCAGTGGCAATAATGTTGACGCCAGGCAGCCTGCCACACGATCACCGCCCGCCCCCAGCAGTTCACAGAGGTCGTCAAAGCTCCACCATCTTGCATAGCCACCTCCTCGGCAGAGAGAACATCTCCAATGTCTCCGCGCAGGAATAATGATCAGCAGATGAGCAGACCTGACGCTGGTGGATTAGCGATGACATCTTAGTAGAGTGGTGCTGTGCAAGTTACTTCAGGAGGTCCCGCCGAGGAGATGGAGCTTTGAAATGGGTCGGCGTGCGTGCGCTCGGTGGATTATCCCATCGCAGGATCGTGAGAGGCGGCAGCTGACGATGACGACGATTGAGTGGTTATTGTGGGCCAATGGAGCGGCTTTCATTTTATTGACCTGCGGCCACCTTATGACGGCAGAGCCGCAGGGATGTCTGAACCCAGGGCGGAAGCTGCGTGAGGCCTCCCCCAGTCACGCGTCTCTCTGCCGGCTGGGACACTTCCTCTGTCCGTCTGGCACCGGCTTCGCAGGAATATGAAAGTTACCATCCGAGACCTCACATCCGTTTCCCCTGGGCCATCAAGAGGAAGACTGCCAGCCTCAGCTGCTAGTGATGATACAATTCTCGCTTGCAAGCTTCAGAATCTCGCCGACACCATGGCCAGTCCACGTGTTATGCACACACTCATAAGCTGGAAGAATGGTAGGCGCACACATTCCAGGTGATTAGCCAATAGCTGGTGGACAGGTCAGCTCCGACGGGAGGTCCTGGTGTCAAGGACATGGGTCCACTTTGGCTGTTCCTTCAATGCAAAGTTCTTGCTTGAATCTGGCATCATCCTCGAACCGTTGTGTGGATGCGCAGATGGTGGAACTGCGCATCGATGATTACTTAAAAAACTATTTCAATTATTTGTTTATTTTACTAGGTAAGGCCCGCCGAGCTATTCAGCTCTTTTTCAGAAGCGTCCTGGCCACCAATAATAGCTCAAATAAGTGGCTTATGTCTACACGTATGGAAGTAACCAACCACTCTAAACGCACGTGGATTCTAAATGTGGAGAGAAAAACCGGAGGACCTGGACAATAATCCACGGGGAGAACACGCAAACTCAAAACATACAAGTGTCAAGGTTGGGATCGAACCCACGACCTCCTGTATACCAGGCGAGGGAGT